AGTGGAGGTGTGGTGTCTGATGGACATGGCCATGTCACTGGGTGACACTGGCAGTGTCACACAGTGCCCTTGCAACGCTCTATAAATGGCCATGTGGGGCTGGCTGTCACAATTGGCAAGGGATCAAAGCATGGCCTGACACACCCTTGATGGTGGAGGGAGCGCAGAGGGTTGCTGAGATGCACAGGGGCTGCTCACCAAATATCCAGAACTCCTCCAGGCTGCACTGTATCTGGCTGAGTTTTTGCTTATGTTCTATATTTCACCTAAATTCATTAGAACTGTTTCCTAAAGAAGTTTACTGTCTTGCGTCCGAACTAGTTTTTTATTTCATACATCTGGCAAAACGTCAGCTTCTGCTGCCTCAGGGTCACAAGCAAAGCTGGGAAGTCCAACGAGTGGATAAAACAGACATAATCAACTGTAGAAAACTCACCAAGATGAGATGTAGCCATTCTGTGTGCCAGGCCAGTGGAGTTTGAAGGTCTGTTCATTCATTTCTGTGGGAGGGGAAGACAGGCATTCCTTTCTGTGCTGGGTAGGAACCACTGTCACCTCTAACAGTTCTAGAGCTCCCTTGTCTAGCTCTGGTGTTGGTCTGCAAAATATGTTTGTAATCCTGATACCAAATATTGTCCACCTTGCATTTACTCAAGTGAGGATGAAGGGGTAGCAGATTTCTCTTTAAGAAACAGGGAAGGAAGACTATTGTGACTATTTTGAGTATTGTGACTATTCTGGAGTTTTAAGGATTTTTTTTTTTAGGTTGTTTCTGAGCTTCTCCAAAGTGTCAAAGAGTAGAAAAATCTTATCTGAAGGGAATGATGTATATGGCAAATGCAGTTCTTCACATGGATTTCACCAGTTTTTAAGTGGATTCCTTCTTCAAGTATACAGAGGGACTGTTTTGGGAGTGGAGTATTGGCCCTGTTGGAGAACCACTGGTACACAGCACTTCAGCTTGGTGGAAGCTGTTGGGAATGCCTCCATGAGTGGCAGATATGGACTTGCAGATGGAGGAGCAAATTCTCAAAGAGCCCCAGCAGCTCTCTGAGAGGCATGAGAGGAGGTGCTCAGGTAACCAGAAAAAGCTGGCAGCAAAAAGTCCCGAAGCTCTTTCACAATTGCTCACTCACAGGTTCTGCATAGCCACACGTGACACGGCAGCAGGAATTTCCTGTCCTGCCTAACGTGCTTGTCCCTTTCCATTAATTTTTCGGTGTCCACGAGATACCCGATGCCGCTCAGGTTGTGACCACCCCGGTTGTGTTTCCAGGACCATGGTCCTGTCCCAGTAGATGGAGGGGGCGGGTGTAACCCCCAAGTCTTTGTCGTTCTGAAGGACCGGCCGGCAATGGAGCGCCCGCGGGCTGCAGGTGGCGCTCTGGGGGCGCGGGGAGCCGCTGGAGCCCCCGATGTGCGGGGGGTCCCGGCTGGAATCCACTCTGGAACCCCCTCCGGAAGCCCCTCCGAGCGGGGTGTCCCGGCTGGGGCGGGGGGCACGGGTGTCTGGCTGGCATCCCCTCCATGTGCGCTGGGGTGGGGAGCCGCCTGGCACATCCCCTCCGTGAGGGGTCAGCCCAGTGCTCGCGGGTACCAGCTGAGCATTGTTTAGAACAAGTGTGCTCGGTGAAAAGCCACTGGTATCCGCGGCCCGTCCCAACAGATGTCACCAACAGATCCGTATTGATTCCGAGGTTGGGCCCTTGGCAGTGGTGGAGGCAGATGGCACGTTGCTAATAAGCACTGAGTGCTGCTGGCAGAGCAGTGAGGAGAGGTTGGATCAGTGGGATAGCACAGCGGCACAGTGCCATGGGCAAGTGAGGGGTGTCTTTGACCATCTTTGTCCTCTCTGCGTTCATTCCTTTTTCTGGCTCTGTGAAGTCTAAAGTTCTTCACCCTGTCTGAACCTTTGCTTTTCTTCTGGTTTTCTGCAATAATCCCACTCTCTTTTCTCCTATTTCTACCCCTTTTTTTTCTTATCCGATGCTCATGCCTTTGCCTGGAATGTTTTTTTATTACCAGTAGCATCCCTTTCATGTTTATACCTCACTGCATCATGTTGGGTGGGAGAGAGACTGAAGACTGAGGACATTCCTGCTGGCTGTTATAGAAGAGAGTGGGTATTACACCAGGCCTGAAAAAAGGCCTATGGATCACTTTGGATAAGCATCTTTGATTCCAAATGTGGTGACAGAGACTCATCACTGCTCAGCAGATTGAGGTTTTGGCTGTTATCAGACTGTTGCTTGTTATCAGCAGAGGAGACAGAACATGCAGCACCACCACACACGGGCTGATGCATGGACAGCAAGAGCAGGGAGCACGTGCACCCAAGCACATAAACACTTGAGCTCTGAGGAGTGCTGGTACATCTCTAGGTGCCTCTGTGCACTAGGAATTCTACTTATACATCAGGAATACTCAGGAATGGTTCCTCATCTCCTAACTTCCCACAGTCAGGCACACCTGGATGAATGAAGTGGTCATTATTGTATGTATATAAGGTTTTTCTACTATCTGTTGTGTGGCAACTTGGATGCCACATTAGGCTGTGAAATACGCATTTTTTTGATGGCAAACCCTGGAGGGTATAGCTAAGCCAAGGAGACATTCCAACATGGTTGCTTTGCTGCTGATATTTTTATTATTTCTATGGACTGGCTGCCAGATTACATTGTGCTTAAATTCCTCACATGAAGGGAGATCCCTTTCCCATTTCCTGCAGAAAGTGTCCCAAGCTCAGCATCTCCAGCTTCATTTAGTGGTGTCACATGTCACAAGACACCATCCTCAGTACCTGGGGTTGAGTTCTTTAACCAGCCCAGCAGCTGGAGGCCACTGTTAGAGCCCCCAGTGCTACCTGATGCCATTCTCCTTATTGATGTCTCTGAATTAAATCTGATGATTAGAGGAAACGTGACCAAAGAAACACACTGAAGTGTGAAGGGTTGGTCTCTCAGTCTTTCAGTGGTGATCCAATAATTTTTATTTCAGTACTTAACGGTCAAGAACGGTTGTGAGTTCCCTTTCCTATGATAAGGGCTTTTGACTTCCACCTAAACTACAGCTCTCTTTGTAATTGTAATTTCTGGACTAGGGAAATAGCTTGATTCTCTTTCAGAGCCTGACTATGATAGCTGAAAATCTGGACTTGAGTGCAGCTCCAGGGAATCTGCTTGCAAAGGGGAGAAACCTTGAGTGCCTGTAGAAGCTGGCTCTGCATTTGCCCTCAAAGCTTGTATTTTCCAAAAAAGGAAAGGGCAAAAAAGTGTTGAACACTGATTCTTTGAAAGCTGTGAAACTTAGAACAGGTGTGAGCACAGGCAGCTGCCAGGGTGCTGTGTGCAGATATTCCTGCTAATGCCTCCTTAGAACTTAATCTCTGAAACCATCTGCTTATGGTGAGCACATGTCCCGGGGGAGGGGGGCAGGAGCAAATCCAGCAGCCCCGCAACTTCTTCCTCTGTAGCCTGAGTGAGAATTTTGAAAGCAAAGCAAGATTGAGTTGTGTGTCAAGAGACCTCATTCTCAGCTTTTATGAAGCAGGAAAACTCCCGTGTCAGTTCCCCAAGTTCAGGGTGGTTACTGATGAGTCTCAGAGCTCGAGATCTGATTCACGACCACCCGAGCAAAAACAACACGCAAGCCTGGGTTTGGAACTGTCAGCAGCAGAACTCTGTGTTCTCACAAATATGTGGGGTCAATTTTTCTTACTTGAGGTCTCAGTCCGAACAAGATCAGCTAAAAGCTCCAGCCTGTGCATTCCTCTGGTTTTCCAGTCTGAAGTCACTGTGAAGTTGAGCAAGTCCTTTGGGTTGTCACCTCTAATGCAGCTCTCCTGATTCTCTCCAATGAAGCCTCCAACACTTATCTCTGAGTAAATCCCTTCTCTTCCTCATACCTTTCTTCTCCTCCTGTTTCTTTGGTGTTCTGACTTTGGAAGAGAGGGCCCCTGCTCCAGGGTGTCTGTTCCTTGTTCAGCACAGTGTATCAGAGGCTCAGAGATGTTACTGTGCTAATAAGTGAATCAAACCCACCTGCTGCTGCCTGCTGTGCTGCTTGCTTTTTACCTGAGTACACTTGTTTGCAGAGGCCAAATTGCTCCCAGCCACTGACCTGTTAATGAAAAGCTAGTTTATCAACTTTGGCAAAAGAAGAAAGCAGTATTGGTCACTGCTGCCCTGTGACTGCCAGAAGCAGCACGGTGACAGGAATGGGTCATACTTCAGCCCATGACTGAAGGGTCCCCAGCTTCAGAGAGACATTCAGGGCCTTCCCCTGCATTTGGTGCTGGCCATAAAAAATTGATCATCCTTTGTTACAGCTTCACTTCTGTCACTTTCCATCCCAGAGTCTGTTTTTTACAGAAAACAAGCTACATTCATCAAAAATGACAGAACACAGACTTAATGTAATCATGTATGGGAACATGAATTGCAAATGCAGAACACAAGCACTAAAATGTATTTTCCATTACTGCCACAAAATGAAATAATCATGAACATTTTCCCCAAGAATGAGAACACATGTGGAGTACACTGACACCTCAAAATCTGCTGCTGTGCCCCGGCCTCAGGTGCAGGTGGGCTTCGTGTGTCTCAGCAGGGCAGGGATCTGCCGGTATCAGAGGAGGTGGCTCTGTTATAATCCTCACCATGGAAACTTGTGTTGGTTATTAGTTACAGCAGCTTCTGCAGGCTCGTTTGGGTGACCTTCTGGTCATCTCTGGTTGTTAAAGATCTTGGGGTGCTCCTAAGCATAACTGAGCAGAGGTGCTGGAAATATAGACAATGCCATGTTGCTCCTTAATTCTAGATTCTACTTCTAACTGCTATTGGATCACTTGCTGAAAACCTCAAACAAGTCCTCTCACTCTACCTTCCTTTCGTTCATAAGCTGTTAAAATACAGATATGCCTATTTAAAAATAAAATGTATTAATTGATTTAGAGTTGGTACAGGATGGCATGTTAACCCAATTCTTCCTGTCCCTTGCAGATGCACTGGGCTGCAGCTTGGCCACGCTCTGAACATTTGCTGTACTGCACTCCAGATGTGGCTGCCTTTCACAGACAGGTAAGGTTATACCTGCCTTTACATCTGATTGGTTTATTTGCTTGTAACTTGATTTAGTATCAGAAATGTAAATGACTGAATCACCTCTGCTGATCAGGCTGTCAGGAGAGGCAATGAGGAGGGGTAATAGAACTGGGCATAGCCAATCTGTAAACTCAACGAAATCCAGGACTTGCTCAGTTATTTAGATTATATTAAACACATGCAAGTTTTCATCCAGCCTGTACTTGCCACAATTCTGCAAATACAAAGCCGCTAATGAGGGGTGTTGGAGCCTGCCCTGCTGAAGGATAGTTGGATATGGATCATGGTGATGTCTGGAAGGGAAACTACTGGTTTGATCAAAGCCTTGTACTCAGACAGCACTGAGTGCTGATGGAATGATAGAGAGAGAATAAGGCAGAAAGACAGGGGCTGGTTTACATCTCATCCAGCAGAAGCTGTTATGAGGGACTTATTGATCTCTGATTCAGCTCAGGCCGTGGGTTAAATGATGGGATATGTCTGAAGAGACCAGTCTAACTGCACCCAACAGGAGGTGCTGGAGAGAACAGTGTGCTGTGCTGGGGTGGACTTTTTTCCCCCCAGAGAAGATATGACCCTGTCATAAAGGGAAGAGGGAGAGATTTTGTTCTAAATGAATTAAAACGATGTCTTTGCATGAGAGCAATTCAGATTATAAAAAATACATAAAACAAATAGACTCGGCAGCTGTAGAATCCAAGAGAAAATCTGGATTTGGAAGAGATTCTTAAGTTTTTTGTGACATGACAGTAAGAAAAAACATTTGGTCTTATGCGTCTTTCCAGCTGTTTACACATAATCTGTGTCTTCTCTGACAAGTTTGCTTAAGGAACTTCATAGACATGTTCATATGGTCATATAAATGCAATTTCTCTCTCTATATATATATGCACATATCTCCACATTCTTGTACATTTGACATACTTTATGTGCATGTACATCATCTTATCAAAATTAACTTCCTCTTTGAATTAATGTGCTTACATGCATATACATCAGCATGTCCCAAGGTGCATATGTGCATCTTTGTTCATATTCCCCTGTATGCATGAGGTGATCAACATAGTCAAATTGAAAAATTAAGTTATTCCAAATCTGTGTTATTTCTCATTTTGTTCCCGGGGGGTAAATGGACCCGTTCCAAATGAAAGGTAATCTTGGGACCTGAAGTTTTACGTTTCAGCATATAATGTGGTTTTAACACTCTGTACCATCAAGTGTAAACTCTTCAGGGCAGTTTGTAGATTCCCTTCCGTGTTTATGCAACAAAGGCAATGTCAGATTGTTTAAGACTTTAGGTGCTAGGACAGTGCAAATAGTTAATAACAATGGTCAGATTCTATGGGAAGATGAGATGAGCTGGGCAGGCAGGACCCTTAAAGAACATACAAAGCCATCCATATGAACTCTTGAAGACGATTTGTCACTGTTTTTTCCACATGGTTGCAATACATTCCCTACAACTCTGAACACGTACCCATTTCAGTGTTGTCTTCGTGTAGCTCATAAAATCCAGCCCATGTGGGTTTCACAGACTCGTCTGTAGAGCTCGTGTACATATGTAGTAAAAAGCAAAACTTTCATAAACATCCCCGTAACGCACCAAACGTGTCCCGATCCGTGCCCAGCGTATGTGGGTCACTGCAGAGCCGCGTGTCACACACACACATTTACACAGCCCGACGGACACGGTGTCATTCCTGCGTGCCTGCAGCCAGGAGCGTGTGTAGGGATTCCCGGGAGCAGGGAATGCCGCAGCCCGCGCAGGCAGGCAGCGTGTCCACACCTTCCAGAAGAGGGCACCTGTCTCCCGGCGCAGGCAGCGTTCCCGATCCAATGGCCCCCAGCCTCTCGCACCTGGGCACTCGCAGCTCGCCTGCCAATTTGAGGTTAAGAGTGCCAGCACAGAGTGAAATATTAAGGCAGCCGCTTGAAATTCAAAGTGTTTCTTTTAATTAATGGGTGGATGCCACAAGTTGATCCAATCCAGCTCTTAAATTAATCTTAATTACATGGATTTTGTAACTTTGGCATTAGCCAGCCACACAAAATATGTATTTCATAATCCTAGAAACGGGTGAAAAAGACTGCTGCTGAGCTGAGAAGTCAGCTGATGATGTTATCAGGCTCTGTGGCTGTGGGTGTAAGTGTCATTGGGGTGTGTCTGAGATCTTATCAGGAATACCAAATTAATTCACTCCTGCAAATATCAAAACAAGCTTTTTTACCGGCAAGTAGGCAATAGGCAAGAGATTCCTGAGCTGCTGTCTCTGGAGTTTCTGTGCCATCCAGTGCTGATACAATAAAGAACTGAAGGATCAGGGAAGGAGAGCTGGTGATCTGTCCTGTTTGGTAACGAGTTTTGAGTGCATACCCAAAGAGTGCTGCTCAAGCTCTTAGCTTGTTGATTTGGACTGGGGACCAGGAATTCTGTCTTCCTAGCTCTGCCACTGGCATGCTGTGTGAGCCTGGTCGAGGAGAGGGAAGCTTTCCATTCCTGAGCTTGTTTTCCCTCCCTGCATGTTTATTTGTTCAGACTTCCCTTTTTCTGGATGGGAGCTGCCTCTCAGCCTGTGTCCATTCGGCATTGTATGGCATCTAGGTGCTACTCTGCTGCAGAGGATGATAATGGATAAATTGAATTATCTCAGGAGAATTGATACTTGTACTCTCTGTTAGGGATGAGCATCCAGGATCTCTCTGAGCATCCATCATGCCAACTTTAAATAGAAAACAGAGCTGGGAATAGATGGTCAGGGATATTCATAGGAAATGCAGACACACAATTTGCCTAACCAGTCACTGCATATTCGTTAAACAGGAAGCAGGGCCTTGGCTATCCCCAGGGATTGGCATTCCCTTGGGATTAATGTTGCTGCTCACTGGATTACACTCCTGCTTCTGCTGATGAAACGTGAAAAATGATGGATGAATCTGGGAGTAAACACAATTGCAAACTAGTATTTAGTCATCTTGCTCTAAACCTGAGTCAGGATGAGAGCAGAGCCTGTACATAGCCCAGCATGACTGGTTGTGGGGTGGCAGAGTGCATCTGAGAGCCTTTTCTGTCACTGCTGCACACCCAGGGGGCAGGAGGAGCAGTGGGAAAGGCAGAGGATCTGTTTGTGTGTAAGCACAAGCTCCACAGGAGGAACCTTCTGCTGCACACAGGTGTGCACACGTGCACACCTGTACCTTCCATTTGTGCCTCCATAGGTGTCCTTCTCTTCTTCATTTCCTTTACAACACAGACACCTGAAACCTTTGTAGAAATAACTTTTCTCTAGAATGGGCTTGTGAATGTTAATCTGACATCTGACCTGTGAGTTCTCTCAGTGCATGTCTGTGTGAAATGCTTTCTTTGAAGACAGTCCCTCCTTATTCTTACAAACTTCTTTTGTATTTGGCTGACTTTCTACTGCTGGTAGGACTCCTGGTTAGCAATTTTGCCTTTTCCTGAGGTTGCTTTACAGGGCAAGGTTAGTTTGGATATCAGTTTGAAGGATTGTTTTTATAGTACTTTTGGAAACATAAATGAGAAAATGTTAAACATCATGTCAATTTGCCTAATTGATGGGAAACTTGATTGTGGCCAGGGAGGAGTGGATTTCCCTACTTCAGTCTTACGAATAATTTTCTCATCTGAAAAGAGAGAAAATCCTGTAAATCCTGGCAGCCAACACGATTTCCCTCACAGGTTGAGATTCCCCCAGAACACAGAGAAAAAACAAGGAAATGATGTGCCTGACTCCCTTGGAACACTTTGTAATGCTGAACCTGTGTATTTGATTTGTTCTGGTTGGAGCCGATGGAGCCTTCCGTGGACTCTAATTATTTTTACTCCAATTTTGTCAGATTTCTTGTGCTTTTTCTCCAAAGCACTTGTTTCTCAAGTAACAGCAACAGAATCTGGATTAGATAGACTGCTCCTGGAACTCTGTATAATTCTGTGCTCTTGAGATACTAGAACATGCTCACTTTTGCAATTTCTAATCTCCAAAGCTTGTTGGAGTTGATGTGACTTGAATAGCAATGATACTGAACTTCCTCGGGTTTCAAATTTGAAAACCTTTAGATGCCTGAACTCATCCAGCAACGGGGAGGAAGCCAGCAGGCAAATGGAGAAACCTTTCCAGCTTTCAGTGTAGGTAGGAAGCAGAATGAGTTAATGTTGGCCCAAAGGGCCACAATAAATAATGAGAGCTCTTCCAAGTATATCGGGGGAAAGAAATACGAGAGAGAAGGTAAGCCCATTAATAAATTAGGAGAGAGCTGGAATCAATGGTGATTCTAAAATGGCTGAGCTACTTAACTTTTTTTTTAATTGGTCTTTAAGAAGAAAAATATAGAAATGGAATATGGACCATTAGGAAGTAATGAGCATCTTGGCACCCTGGCTGTTGATGTAAAGCAGATAAGGGAACACTTGAAAGAATGGATAGCAACAAATCAGCAAGTCCAGCTGATGAGCATCCTGGGATGTTTGGCTGCTGAATTCACTGAACTGCTGGCAGGTGTTTTGAAAAGTTGTGGATTAAACAGTCAGGTCCTTCATGTATCAGTAGGTCTAGAACAAAGACCAGCCTTACAAAGCTACTCCTGCACTTGATTCCTGCAATTACCACCTTACACAGCAGTTGTATTCTCAGTTTGAAGAGGTGCTAAGATGGGGCACATGAGTTTCAAGAAGCTTCAGTTCACAAATTGGCCAGACTGACAATCAGACTATGTAGCTCCTTTGCTTCACATCAGTAAAATTACCACTTTTGTCTTAGTAAACTTGCACAATTTGACTGGAGCTGATCCAATTGTGCCAGGGAAAACCCACCTAAGAAATTTACCTTCAGAACAGCCGACCAGATGGATCCTTAGTTGCTGTCAGCTTTTTGCTGACTTCAATCTCCTTTGATTTTTCCTACAAATGATTTTTTTAATATATTTGAACCAACCCTTTGCTGCTGCTGAGGCTGACCTTA